CTAGAAATCTAGTAATCTATTTTTCACTTCCCATATTTCTATCTTTAGCAACAAATAATGTCTACAACTGACAAAATTGTTCATGTGGGTGGGGAATTTCAAGGAAGACAACAAGGTGGAACTCCACCACACCACACACCTACATCGACTCCACAATGCTCACAAGACAATTCACCTGAAAGGTATAATACTCGTAATGCTGGACAACAAATTGATGAGAAACCGGACGACCAAGATAACTTGAGGTAGATGATTGCTCAACAAGTTGGTGAAGCTTTGCGTGCTTTTGCAAATGGATTTCCCAATGTTGTGCAGACTCCTAGCCAGTAAATAAAACTTTGGAAAATACTCGTTCAGTGCTTGACAACTCAGGAAGTGGAGAAATATCAAATGATTCTGGAGCCGGAGGGTCAGGTACATCAAATAATTTTAATTTGTAAAGTTTGGTACTAACCTTGCAGAAGCAGCTCAAGGAACAAAATGAGCGGAGAGAACATATACCAGGAGTTCCAAACATGATCAAAGGAATGGATATTGACAAATATTCACAATAACCTTGGAAGCTGAATGCAGCACCGTTGCCAATTCTTGAAAAGTTTAAAATTCCTGATATCCCTAAATATGATGGGACTACTGAACCATGGGACAATGTTACCACACTTACCACAAGAGTTAAGGGCAATGGTACCAAGCAGGAAATTGAATCGGTCTTAGTGAAATAATTTGGCAAAATCCTCACAAAATAAGCATTAACGTGGTATTCACTCTTACCTGAAAATTCTATTGACTCTTTTTCTAAGCTTGCAGATTCATTTATAAAATCACATTTGGGAGACTAAAAAGTAGAAAAGAGAATGGAATATATCTTCAAAGTAAAGTAGAAAGCACAAAATTGCTTAGGGAATTCGTAGATAGATTCCAACGGGAGAGGATGATGTTATCGCGTGTACCAGATAACTAGGTAGCTATAGCATTTGCAAGTAATCTGAATGAGAAAAGTTCAACGAAAATGTTAAAACAAAGCTTGCAGGAGTTTCATACAACTACATGGAATGACGTATACAACAAGTACGTTATGAAGTTACGAATAGAAGAAGATATTGTGTCTTAGCCAAATATAGATGAAAGGTTTGGGTCAAGGCATTCAGAAACAGAAAGGAGGTCTAGAAAGAGCAGGTACGAGCCTTATATGGGAACCGCATGACGAGATTCCCGATCAAAGCAAGATCAGGCACGATTTGATTCAAGATCGAGATAAAAAGAGACGAGTTCCTCTTACCGATTTAATAAGGAAAGGGACACAACAAGAAATAGTGATCCAAACTCTCGATCAAGAATAGGATATTATAATTTCAACGTCAGTACATCTGAGTTGGAAGTTGTTCTGAGAGGAATACGTGACAAAGTACGATAGCCGAAAGAGATGAGGTCAGATCCCAACAAAAGGAGCCAGGAATTTCGGTGCAAATATCACAATGATCATGGCCATAGAATAGCATATTGCCGGCTCCTGCAAGGAGAGGTTGAATATCTATTGAAGAAAGGCTACCTCACTGATCTGCTTAGTGAAAACATGTACCCAGTAAGTATGAGCACGGAATAACATGTACCCAGTAAGTATCAAGATTAACCTCGAAGAAGTAGTGACGAAGTTCAAGTCATATTATACCTACTAATCAAATAAACATGTACAATTCATATTATTCACAACAAGACTATAAAAAGAGATACAATATTGCCGCAGATTATTTTAAGAGACATCAACTCAACATGGATAGTTTTATCTCGACTATCAAGTCTAAAACATGTAATAGAGGCATCAAGTAAAATGTTAAAATCCAACATAGAAAGTATGTAAAATACATGATAAGGCATAAATGATTCACTTGAATGGTCAACGTTTTCTCCTTTATGATCAAAACTCACCATATCGAATTATGTATTAGATACGACCAAACATCTGCCAATTTATCACAATCTGCGTGTACGCCATCAAGAGAGAAACATGAGAAGGCGACCCTACGGGGATGGATCCATATCCACAAAACTGTACATCAAAGACCTCTTGCCATAACAGTGACAATATCACCTCAACCACATGGAAGAAACCTCATGCTACAACAGTAATAATAACTCAATAACTGCACAGTAGAAACCGCGTGCACTATCTAAATCAATCCGTTCAACATGTCCATATGTGCCCTATTCATCGTAATCCAAAATAATATTTCATCTTTAAAGAGGCATATGCTCACAAATAATCACTAAGGTGCATAAGGACAGAATAAATAAAGGTATGAATATGTGCTCACGATGTGAACCATGACAACAACTAAATCATGTATAACCACAATTTCATAAATAGCCGATCTTGGCCAATTAAGAGGCAGCAATCCTAAATATGGTTACTAGCATGAAAAGATAAGCTCATGTAGTCATAATAGAAGCCTAAAGTCTAATCTGGTTATGAATCATATATATCACCTGTATGAATACTCGTCACCTCACATATACGTCGCTTCCCAGACATTCCAATTAAGCAAATAAGATCATATCCTGAAGGTTATTCCCTCAAGCTAAGATTAGGCAAGATACTTACCTTAGCAAGCCAAATCAACCCTCCAAAATTGCCTTTCCCTTAGGAATCACCTTCAACCGGCTCGAATCTAGTCAAATAATATCATAAGGATCAATGCCAAATAATAAACTTCAATCTTTAATCAATTTTTAAAAATTCAACAAAAGTCAACCCTATCCCACATGGTCAAAACCCGAGTCTAGGGGGTAGATCATGTTTATCCATAACTCCACGAGTCCAAATATGTATTTAATTTTAAAATTCAAGTCCAAATTGTTGCTCAAAACCCTAATTTACACTCTCTTAAATTGTAGGCAAAATTCCAAATTTCACTTCAAAATTCCATATTTTAGGTGTTAAAGTCAATGTAAATTCTTGAAATATAATCACAAATGCGTAAAAGCCACTTACCCTCTAGCCTTGTATGAAATCTCCTTAAAATATTGCCTCTCTCCAAGTCTAGGGTTCAAAATATAAGAGAATCGGCAAAAAAATCTGAAATTCCAACTTAAATGCACTACCCAGGGATACCTTTTGCGAATGTGGCCCAAGCCTCACGTTCGCGAAGCATGAAGCTACCTCAGACCAAATTCCTCTTTCGCAATCACGGAAGGACTCTCATGATCGTGAAGCTTCACCTAGCTCCCCTTCTATGTGAACGCGATCAGCACTACTCGAATGTAATGCACCACTGCCTCCAGCCTTCGCAAACACGACTTACCCATCATGAAATAATGTGAAGAAAAATGACCCTCGACCCAACTTCTTCATAGCGAATACGAGACACCCCTCGTGAACGCGATAGACTCCATACAACAACACATTAGCCAACTTCAAATATGTTTTGAATGGTTCGAAACTCACTCGAGCCCCCTGGGACCCCGCCCAATCATACCAACAAGTCCATAAATACTAGAGGGGCCTATCTGAGGCCTCCAAACACATATGAAATCATTATATCTAAGAATCAAAGATCAAATCACAAGTTAAACTTCTCTTAGGTTCAAGAACTTCTAAACATCCAACCAAACATCTGATTCATTCCTAACCACCTCAGACCTCAACCAAACTTCGCACGCAAGTTCCATTTGACAACACGAACCTATCCACGATCATGGAACAAAAATCGACGTCCGATAACATCAAAGTCAATAATCAGACAAACGTATAAACTCTCCCATTCTTCAAATTGCCAACTTTCAATACCTCGAGTCAAAATCTCCAAGGAACATCAAAAATTAAATCTGAACGTACGCCCAAGTCCAAGATCATCATACTAACATACTATAACCATCAAATGCCTAATCCAGGATGTTTACACAAAATTCAAACCTAGATAAACTCTTCCAGCTTAAGGCTTCAAAAATAAAACTAAGTGTTCCAAATCATTATCCAATCCCATGAAAAAAACAACCTATCCCCCAAGTTATAGAATATCAAATACACATACGAGAATTATCAAATAGGGGAACACGGTTCTAATACTCAAAATGACCGATTTGATCGTTACAACATCTATCCAAAAAATCCTAGGCAACCTCTGAAGAACCACCCTCAAAGTGTGAGGCATGCAACTTGTGCAACCTATCCATCCTTTTCTACTCATCTACAAACATAACGGGCCTAACCTCAGGCCATGTTGTAATGAGAGGCTGAGCTATACCAGCTGGTAGAACTTCTGATGTCTGAAATCCATGAACCATTTGCTCGGGAGTGTATGTAACTAGAGTCTGAGATCCGAGAAGTAGCTGGTTCCATAGGAAGTACACCCACTTGAGCCATGATCTCAAAGAAGCCAACTATATGGATCAAACAATCCCGAAGAACTGGAGTAGCAGTAGTACCCTTCAAGAACCTGAGCTGGTCCAGGTGGAATAATATAATCTTGAACCCGGTCCACCTATGGAGCTACACGTGTCTGCTTAGAAACTATTCTAGCACGAGCCTGAGAAGCTGTAGGGCCTGCTACACATGCCTTGGTTTGGCTCTAGCCTGCCTCTGCCCCGACCTCTACCTCTAGTAGGGGCTACAATCTGGGGCTTTGGCTCCTTCTCTGCTATGACTAATGCACGTGTTCTCACCATCTGTGAAAGAGTAAAAGAGTAAAGATTCAAACTTTAGGATAAAAGAAAGTTGTGTGATAGAGAAAGAAAAAATGTGAAATTTCCGAATTGTCTCACAACCTCTCGAAGATAAGTATAGACGTCTTCATACGATCTGCAAGACTCTACTAGACATGCTCATGAATCGTGAGATTTGTGCAACCTATTACGACTCAAAACCTACCAATCGCATGGCACCCCATTCTTGCTAGGAAAACCGACAATCTCAAATCAATAAATAAATCCACTAGCATAGATATAATAATTCTAAACAGGTTCAATAATATCATATATAAGGCTAAGTCTAATAACAAAGCACAAACCACCACAAGCATCTCGGATCTGCTGTAACAGAGTACATGAGTTTCTAGGAGTATCAAATACAAAGGTCTAGAATAAATTCACAATATTTTTTTGAATAAACTAAGCAGTAATAACAAAAGAGAGGAAGGCAACTCCAACAGCCTGCAAACAGATATGCAGCACTTCTTTGTGTTATAGTTAACACCTCTCTGAACTCCACTGGGGCCAATACCTAAATTTGCACAAGAAATGCAGAAGTGTAGTATGAGTATAATTGACACAATATACCCAATAAGTATCAAGTCTATCCTCGAAGAAGTAATGAAGAGGTTTTGACCAACATGATACTTACTTTCATGGTCAGATAATCTACAAGTGTAAATAAAGAGAAGGAATAGCTCTAAAACAGTAAATAATAGCAATATGAATCACACCCAAGGAAGGTAATAAGCATATTTCTCAAAGATAATGATCAAAGCATAATTCTTTCACCGAGTCCACCTAAGATAATGATGTGCATGAAATAAAGGTAAAGGAATGCTCCTACATAAGTGCATGATGTGTATGCATGTTAAAAACTCAACCTTTCCGTAGAATCAGTACCAAATCCACACACACTCAACATATTCCGTGTGCCTGATACAAGTGTCCCTCACAATCACACACACAGCACTGTATGGATGCTGTGATAAATGCCCTTTGTCACACCTCCTTTTATTCTACCCCGGAAGGGTATAGGGGAGTTTTTTCAATTAAAGTGACAATCGAAACGAGATTATTTTATTTAACATTTAGAGTCGCCACTTGGGATAATTTATGGTGTCCCAAGTCACCGGTTCAAATTCCGAATCGAGAAAAAGATTGACCCTATATTACAGTCCGCGAACACAGAAATCCAGGTAAGGAATTCTGTTAACCCGGGAGAAGGTATAGGCATTCCCGAGTTTCGTGGTTTTAGCACGGTCGATCAACTGTTATTATTGGCCTATTATCTGATTTTTTATACATGTTTTAACCTATGGTTCAATTTTAACTTTAACCGCTTTATTTAATTAATTTTTAGGAAAAAATTCAACGTCATCTAAAACGCGTCTTGAACCACGTCACATAAATGCACCCCCGGTCCACGGCATATTTTATCTAACATTGTTGGGATTTGGATTTGGGTCACATAAATGCGCACTCGAGTTTAGGAAATTAATTTTTTAAAATAACGCGCTTAAAGCAACTATGCACTTCAACTTTGCGAGGGTCATGGGAAATGGATAATATTATGGAGGAAATGAGGTTAATAATTCATGGAAACACTGGCTAGCTTGTAGCAATATCGATATTTGGACTAGCTTATTAATTGGCCCAGATCCAATTTTTTATGTCACCCCCCACGATCCAACACATGAAGGAAAACTCATTTCCAACTATTTCTAAAGACCAACAAACCTAATTCTTCCCAATTTAATTGAATGAACCCCCTAGCCCCTTCTTCTTTTTCTTCTTCATATTACAGTTTCTATGCCTAAAGGATAATATTTAACTTTGGTCACATAAATTAAAATAATATTAACTCATAAAATAAGGAATTACAAAAAAAAAAACAAAGCAATAAAACATCAATTAAGGAATAAAATATTGTAAAGAAATATTTACACAAGATCCCTGTAAAACGTTAACCTATTTAACATCCTAATTCCAATGTGGACCTCTTAAATGATTCTAAATTAATAACATAGATGAAAAGTTCATAATTCAAATTACTAATTTTGACAAAAATTGGCATCAAATTACTACTGCTTAATATTTATTAAAGACACCCCTCTAATGTATTAACACAATAAACTAAATTGTGCCATTTTTTTATAAAAGAAACATAAAAAAACAGCTGACACAAGATTAATGCAAACAAAATTTAAGCAAACTTAAGTGAGAGGAGACATGTTCGAAGAAAAATATTTTGAAGCAAGAACAAAGTAGAACCCAGATACTAATTGATAAACAGAGAAAGGGAAGAACCTTAATATTAAACTTTCACTTTTGATTTTTTAACTGATGATTTGTTCCAAAGATGGAATCGCGATAGAGACCTCGACGGAAAGGCATGCACTGTCGACCTCGAACTTTCACCAGAACTCGATGTGCCCTCCCCTTTTGTTATGAGTAGTGTAGTATTTATACGTGTGAGTTGAATTTTGAGAGAAAGGAGGTGAATCCAAAAATCAAAGGGGGAAGGCTGTTTTTCATTTTGTAGTCAGCTGGGTTTAAAGCTATTTTTAGCTATTTGATGGCTAAACTTCCATTTCCTTTGTTTAATCTCCTTCTGTATATGTGTGTGTCTTTAAATGGAAAAGAAAGATGGTTTAAGAATCAGAAAAAGTGGAATTTGGGCATGAAGCTGCCGTCTTTTCTGAAAAAAGAAAGAGATTTGCGGTTGATTTTAGGGGTCTAACTTTAGGTTCAGCGGCTGATTCTAATATTTGGTCCCCTTAGCATTAGGCATTACCCCTGTTATATAGATCTAGGTCTAAATGTGTATTTTTGTGCTAATTGCTCTTAGGTCCTTAGGGTCTTTTTATTTATTTATTATTCCAAAAAAAGTCTAGAAGAGTCCCTAGGATTAGCTTAATGGTTATTGGGTATTGTGCTTAAGGAATGGGCTAGAAACTTGGGCCTTTATGACTAGCTCGCTTAAAATTAGCTTAATTAACTAAAAATATTATCAAAAATATTAATTAGCCCTACTTAAGTAAAAAATAATTATTAAAATAAGACTGACCGTTAAAACAAAACTATTTTTTGGTATTTTTTCAAGGTTAAAAAAATGACTATAAAACATTAACGAATCTATTTTTTGTAATTTTTGTTTTCTTGTAATAAAATAAAAGTAAAAGAGTAAAAATGAGTTAAAATAACTATATTAGGCCTAAATTAAATATTTACATGCTAAAATATGTAAAATCTTGGGGAGGGTCAAAAATCACATGTCTACAGCTGCCCCTCTTTGACTGGAAACGCGAAGAGTTTTCGGACAAAGAACGACTAGACAGATTTTTTGACCCGACCCTGATTTAAGGAGACCAAAACTAAAAGAAAAGGAAAATTTGACCGAGTCCTGGTATCTGAGCTGCCTACATATCCTTGGCTATAAAGGAATCAGGCCACATGTAGTTCAGAAGTGAGTGAGATGATGGAGTATGCCGAGGTGGAGAGCCGGTCGAGGTGCCGTTCCGTTGAGGTTCCGGTCTACAGTCCTGTTATTACATCAAAAATCAAAAAATGAAAAAGACTAACTAAGCCTGTCAACTATGAGTTACAAGATTCCTATCTATAAGTCTTCTAAAGCTTGATCTGGAGTCTTGAATGGTTCTTCATGCAGACTTTAGATTTGAACCTCGGCGCTTGTTAGCTGCAGGTGTTAGCTCGTTCTTCTTTAGCTTTTTGGATCAAGATCGGACATGCAGTGCTTGTGACCTCAGTCATGTCTTGAGCAATCCGCCTCTTGATTCAGCTTCTGCATTTTGGAGTTTTCCCTTTTTTTTCTTTTCTAATTTTTTTTTGTTTTTTTTTTAAATTCTGGACTGAGATTACTTCCATTGATCATCTCGTCTATTGACTCGCCTTCTTACCAGGAGCTTCTGCTACTTCTAACTTGAACTGTTTTCCTTTAAGACTTGAATTGTTTTCCCTTGAAACTCAAATTGTTTTTCCTTGTTCTCCAGGTGGGTGCCTGATTGCTGAAACTTGAACTGTCTTCCTTTGAAACTTACACTGCTTTTCCTCGAAACTTGAACTATTTTCCCTTGTTCTTGAGTTGTCTTCCTTCAAAACTGCTTTCCCTTGAAACCTGAGTTGTCTTCCCTTGTTCTCCAGGTGGGCGCCTGATTGCTGAACTTGACTTGCTTTCCTCTGAAACTGCTTTCCCTTGAAGCTTGAACTGTCTTCCCTTGTTCTCCAGGTGGACGCCTGATTCTACAACAAAACAGACAGAACAAATAAATTTTTTCTACCCCAGTTTTACACTAGGAAGATTTGTGAGTTGTTAGCAAAACTATAAATCACGTGCGCTGCTGATGAAGGATGCAATGATGAGAGTAAAATTAATGACTCGACTAGGATGTGCGTCTCCTATGCGTGATTGAACTTGCGGAAAACTATAAACTAAGCTTGACTAAAGTAAAGACTGACCCTATTCTCCAAGCGGGACCCCTGATTTCAAGAAAACTAAAAATTGACCCTCTTTTTTCAAATCCAGACTTCCCTTCTTCTTTTTTCAAATTCAGACTTCCCCTTTTTTTTAAATTATTATCCTAGGAGAAAATTCATCGGACTAAGTTTTCTATCTTAGGAGAAAGATTCATCAGACTAAGATTTCGATCCTAGGAGAAAAGTTCATCAGATTAGGTTTTCTATGTTAAGAGAAAGATTCATCAGACTAAGATTTCGATCCTAGGAGAAAAGTTCATCAGACTAGGTCTCTTTTTCGGTATCTTAGAAGAAAGATTCATCAGACTAAGATTTCTATCCTAGGAGAAAATTCGTCAGACTAGGTTTTCTATCTTAGGAGAAAGATTCATCAGACTAAGATTTTGATCGGGAGGAAGATCCATCAGACTAGTAATTTTTATCCTAAGAGGAAAAATATGAAGATCAACGGCAAGATTTTGAACAATAGCAAGACAAATAAAGACAAAATTTTGAGAAACTTCCCTTTGTTGGCTCTTCTCTTCTTTTCTTTTTCTTTTTTTTTTGAACCATTTTCCTTGCACTGATTTGTTCCTGTTTCACACAAAAAAAGATTTGTCAGTTTTAAAAATGGTGGTCAGTTTGTGGCCTTGAGTATTGGGCACCTTGGCTTCTGCTCAATCAGCTTGAGTCGGTTTCAAGAAACTTTTGCTCTGCATCAACCCAAATTGTTTCACACCAGTACCATTTGTATTTGCATCTCAAACAGCCTTATCCCAATTGGAGATCTTTGCTTAGGTGACCTTTTCCGATATCTTGAATGGCTTCCTGCTTTTGAGCAATTTGTCTGCTAGAAAAATTCACCAGTTATCTTTGCTTGCGCCAATAGGCTGACAAGAGTCTTTTGGGGAAGCCTTTGCATGAATCCTCAAAGCATGTTGGTAGTAATAACTGAGTGTGCTGGCCAAATTCACTTTATGCAACTGAAAAGCTGGTAGCAGATTTTGAAATCTTTTCTTGCTTGTTTTGAGAAGGATTAACTTAGGGTGAAAGACACAATGACGCAAAGAAACAAAATATTAACAAGAAATGCCCCTGCCAGAAGGACAGAAGGAAGAATTTTTTTTTCAATAACTAACCTTAATGGTCATGACATGCATTTTAGACTCAACGACCTTATCTATCAAACTAATCCAATCTTCGATTTTGACATTCTTATGAGCTTTGAAGTCGGGCTTGTTCGTGCAAATTCTTTGTATCATCTTCACGACTCACTTTCGACTAGTGGTGCCCCGGGGGGTTTTCACCAACAAATCTCTCTTATTTATTCATCTCTGCTTGCCGTCGTTTTACAGTGCTCATGAGGGTTTTCACTAGTAAAACTCTCTCATTTTTCTTTTCTTTTTCTTTTTCTTTTACTTTCTTGTGCGAGCAACTTGACAGGGTTTGTCGCGTGAGAATCGTTGCTCATTGCATTCTTCTCTTTGCATTATCGAAGGCATATCGGGAGGTCTTTATTTGGAAGGTTTTTGGATAGGGTTGGACGAAAGGCCGACATGAGGCTCAAAACAGACTAAAGATGACGGGGTTGTATACTTACAAATTTTGGAATCAGACTCTTTTAAAAATGAAATAAAATCTTTGCCCCAGTTTCAGCTATTGGGGAATTGTTTTGAATTTTTTTCTTTTAAATTCTTATTTGGTTGGACCGAACCGTGAGGCTGCCTACGTATCATTTTTTTTAAGGAATCAGGTCGAACGTAGTTCAAACATCTGACCTAACTATTTCTTTCTTTCTTTCTGTTTTTTCTTCTTTTTCTTTTTCTTTTCTCATTTTTTCCTTCTTGTTTGCCCCAGCTTCTATTTTCTGATGGCCATGGACCTTTGACAGTTCTTTTCTTCTTCATTTTTTTTCACTTGAACTTTCTAAGAATTGCCCCAGTTTGTACTCTTGGGGACATGGACTTTTTTTCTCTTTTTCTTTTCCTTTTTTTCATCATTTTTTTGTTTTTTGACTCTTTACTCTAAACTTGATTCCAAAAGAGGGTGGTCAAAGAAAATAACACAGGCTCAAAGGGGTGACAAAGGGTATAAAGTATTTTGGGTAGCAGAAAAAGGGCATCCCAACCTCGAGAATGCCAAACATAGTATCTTTTCCCCATCATAGCATTGACGAACATGTTTGTCTTCTTGGTGTGTCGTGGTCTCAAGACACTTTCCATCCCTTAGTGTCAAACTTTCCAACAAACTTCAATTGCTTAAACATCCTCAAGCCCGATCTTCACAATGATTTGAAGGTGAATTTTACTTGACCTTAATTCCAAAGTATTTCAACTCTTTATTCATCCTCAAAAGTATTTTTTTCTGTTATCCAATTCCAGATTAAATCAGTTTCTAAGATCTGGCCAAAATTTCCACATGCATGTCATGTCATTAGAACTAGCGAGAAAAGAACTAAGAATGGAATGACACAAAAGGACAAACTATATTTTATTGAGTAAAGGATGAAAGGGTTTGACAACAAGACAAACAACCTAAAATCCGAGTTACAACCCTAAAATAACTCGGATAATGAAAATAGCAACAGAACAGACAGACAAGACTCACACAAACAGAACGGAGGGATAGAAGGGTTTGACTCAATAAAATAAATAAAATCTTGATCACAACCCTGAAATAACCCAGATAACAGAAAAAACATCAAAACAAACTACCAAGATTCCTTCGTAGTGAGGAGAGAATGACTTTTCAATTGCTAAGCTTGACATTTAGTCATAAATTTGCTCATCAGAATCACCATAGCTTTCTCCAATTTCAAAATCATTATCTTCAGTTAGCAAGTTCCCGAGAGGATTCTCATACTCCATGTCACCAGGCATCATCCCCACAAAGTGTGCATCATGATGTGCAGGTAAAGGATTCTGCATAATATTCTGGGTGTCACTGTCTTGGATCACAATCAGGTTTTCCTGGATCATCCTTTCTATTTCTCTTTTCAAATCCCGACAGCTTTTAACATTGTTCCCTTGGGCATTGGAATTTTATTCACACCTTTTAGAAGGGTCAAAGCTTCTCGCACGTGGGTCCACATAATTTGGAGGAATAGGTGCAATCATGTCATAATGCTTTAACTTCTCAAATAAGCTTGCATATGACTCTCCTATTGGTGTAAAATTATCTTTCAACATTTGTTCCCCTTTATACCTCTGGCTTAGATGTGGGTTATAGGGCACCTAAAAAATTTGTGGAGGCTGTTGGAGATTTCGTGATGCTCGTGCTCGCCTTCTGGGGTGTTTTGGTGGCTGGACAAC